GTGTGTGTATATATATATATATATATATATCTGTGCAAATTATTCTGATTGTGTTACCTTGTAAACTCCGGTCATGTTTTGTTTTATTTCAATGAATTCAAATTATTCGAATTATTTAATTATTTAATTATTTTTCAAATGAAGATAATAAATAACATTCGATGAATATTTGAATATAAAGATATAATAAATTTCTAATTAGTTTATTTATTTAATTAATTAAATTATTTACTAATTTATTCATTTAATTGCCTAAATTAATCAGTAGTAATTAATCCATGATTTCAAGTTATTGAAAGGAAATTTGCCCGACTGCGCCTTTACACAAATTCATTCTTAACCTACAACATAATTCGCGAATTCAATAGAAATCAACTGTTTAGAATTATAATTAAGTGTTGTGCGAAAAGAATTTATTTACAAGAACATCACGACGAGAGAAGCTATTAGATTTTTTACAGTCAAGCTGAAGTCAGAGCGGAGAGGAATTCCAACCGCGAGTTAACCAGTTCCAAGTCACGACGAGATGTTTGCAAACCAGCTGCACGGCCAATAACTGGGCGACTAGAAGTTACCATTAAACTACTCGAACGATCGACAGATATTTGCTAGTCGCTCAAGTCTGACGAAAGTTCGCCTTCGACTTACTTATTATCAAATTAGAAGATAATGTACCACGAAGCCAGCGAAAGGCAGGAGTTTCCATTATAGAGACCGCGAGGTATCTTCAATAGTGCCGATTGGAAAATGGACAAACAACTGAGTTACGTGAAAAAAAAAAGAAGAGAGAAAGGAAAAAAAAAAGAAAACACGAGATTATTTTCTATTTCGCGTTTCGTCTCGTCGGTGTTGTTTGATCGTTACTGACACAATCGAGGAGTGAAAAGATTACCGTACAACGTTAACCAGTCTGAAGATTGACGTCAACATTCACCTTGACGCGTAATGATGTTACGATGCGATTACAACGCCGAGTCTGGCTGCTTTCTTGAAATGTACTGCACTCTCTTGTACAAATAGCCATCAGGTCTGATTACTTCCCACTTATTGCAGATCAGGCTGCGATTAACAGCGTTCGCATTGTGCAAAAAAGATCGTTGCTCCGATTTTTTCTCGCGCAAGTCAACCATTAAAAAAGCGTTCTTACAACGTAATAGATGGTAACTGGATTACCAGGTTAATTGATCTTCGCCTTCTTTTAAACTGAATATCAGATATGCAAATTGGAACGTACGATGATCGAACATTATGGGGAAACCGGTAACGAGATTTTCTTTTTTTTTCTTTTTTTTCACACCGGGAAGAAAAATCTGTGGAGGGAGAAGAAAGTTTTTCAGCTTTGTCAAAGCGGGTGATTTATAATTTTGAATTTGGGACTGAGTTAGGCTTTGAATTTTAATCTTCGTACGTATGTTTATAGTATAAAATATTTTTAATTATATTTTCTGTAACTTTCTATACTTATATATAGTTATTATATGTGCCATACTAGAAAGTTAACTTTTCTCATTAATTTAATTTTCTAATCAAAAATTCTAATCTTACATGTATATAAATTTTATAAATATTAATTCACATGTCAGTTTTCATCGTGTAACTGGAAAGGATTCTACATGTAAAAATAAATTGAAGAAAAAGGATAATGTTTTATTCACTTAAGACTTCGTTCTCGAGAAAATACGCTTTGAATATATTTTATTGAGAATTTGATATATTTATACTTGATAAATTCTTAATTTTAATTATCTTTAATAAAAAGATTTTATTTTACGTTTTTGATTGATTTTCAAATATTTGATTACTGAAACTGAAGCGTCATGTTGAAAAATTTTATTTTTCTACTTAACTGTCTATATAAGAAAACCGGCTATAATTTTCTAATTAAACCCTAAGTCGTGAATGCAAGATAACTAGTTTATTATTGCAAAATATATCCTATTATGAATTACAAACTATAATTGATTTATGAGGCGTTCACTGAAGAAAATAATGAAGTAAATTTTAGAACTACAGTACTATATTCGAAAAAATTAAATATAACAAAGAATCTATAAAATATCAACAATTGTATTATAAAATACACGGTTCTGTTGCGCAATCTAAAAATTTGCTAC